GAACCTGAATCAGACAGCACATGGTCTGTGCGCTCACTGTCGTTGCCCGTCGGCCAATGCCTGCTTTTGTCCGCTCGGCGGACCGGGTCTAATCGCTCAAGTCGCCTTTGGCTTTTCACCATTCGTTTAAGCGCGCGCAAGCCACTAAATCCATCTAAGAAAATCACGACTGGCTTCCTGCTCGTCATTTAGCGGCCATGGTCGAAATACACTTCTGCGTGATGGGTTTGCGGCGAGTAGAAGGGCAAAGAGAGTGTCTGTTTCTGTACATGTACAGCGTATGTCTATAAGGTGAGGGCTGGTCGCGAATGCGCGTCAAGGATCGCCCGACTGCCAGCCTGCCAGCTGAAGACTGCCCGACTGTATTCAAAGACTGCACGGCCGCCAGGCCATGGCCTACTAATATTCCCGCATCATTTTGACATGTTTGCGGCACTGAACATCGCCGTGAGCTGCCCACTGCCTAATGAGATCTCTCTGCAAGAGGTCAAGACCTGGATTTACAGGCTCGGCGGGAGCTACCATGAGCAGGTTTACGAAACGACGCAAGTCTTATGTTCTACGGACCACCGAATTCGATATCTGCACCAGGATGCCTTCCGAGCCACGCAGCTGCGGGCGGCTGTCGTTTCTTTCGAATGGCTCCAAGGATCATATGACCAAGACAAGTTTCTGCCCGTGTCACATTATCTTTTGAATACGCGGCGGAATCCAAAATATGCCCCGCTCACAGGCTGTGTCATCGCCTTCACGAGCAGCTTTCCTTTGCCCAAAGGGAGTGAGAGCTACGACGGCGTGCGCAACGCCATTATCAGACTAGGTGGCACTCACAGGACGGGCGTACGGCCAGATGTCTTGACGCATTTCTGCGTCACCGAAAAGGAACTCAATCGGCACGACTCGCTCGTCCAGCACGTCCTCATGCATGATCCACGACCCGACCGGGAGCCGCTCTGGATAGTCAGCCATCAGTGGTTGACCGAATGCCTGGAACGTCACGAACGGGTTGGAGAGAGCGATTTCACGTTTCCGAGCTGCAGTCATGGTGGGGGCATCCATGGCACCGGCGGCGAGGACAGCGAGGACGATGTGGACAGCGACGAGTCGATATGACTAGGGAAAATAGATAGAGGTGGCTAGGAAAGAGAGATAGACATGACTGGGAAGGAGAGATGCTCGTCATAGCGCAAGAAGCCTCTTTTGGCCCCTTTTCCCAATGCGGTTGCCCCCCGGTGACCATCTTCACTGTTTGTCGTTGTCTTGCCATCGTGTGGCCGTTCCCGTCGGACATATTGGCATGCCATGTGCAGCCGCCAGCAAGCTCTTGTAGTTCCGTGCAGACGCACCTACGTCCGTGTGACCCGTCGTCTCGTGATGCTCCCACTCAACAACCTGACAGACTCATAATTTAACGGCTGACTTTTCCCGACAGCTAGCAGCAGAGCTTGTGCCATTTCAAAGCTGATCGCCAGCCTCTTTCCGCGAATCTCGTCCTGGCCGCAGAAAACGTTTTGATCTGCGCTCCAACACAGCCGGACAGCAAAGCTAGCGGTGCCGCTCGGGTGGACACCTATCCAGCTCAGTGTCCCGTGCGCTGTCTCTATGCTACTTCGGGGTTCAAACTCGATTCTTTCCGGGCTGGCGTCGGACACCCAGACCTGGCTTCTCCGCTGAGGTTTGAACACTAGCTCGATGTTGTTCCTCTGGAGTGCGACTGCTGATGCCAGAAAATACTCCTGACGGGCTTCACACTGCTGTGGCGTACGTCGTCGGACTGATGCGCGTTGTCGTTTTTGGACGGCTCCCTGTTGTTTCTTGACTGCTCCTCTGCCCGGTTGCCTCTGCCCCGTCTTTGGCTGCTGCTTCCCTCCCATCGTTCGTACTACGCGTTGACTCAACGCTGCGGCTTGATCGCGCTGCCGTGCCTCGCGGGGTCTTCCCTGTGTCGGTAGCAGTCGCCTTGCTTGAGTCGCTGGCGGCGGAGACGGCAGCGACAATGGCGCGCAGCTGTCGTTGCTGTCGTTGGAAAGAGGGCCGGCAACAGTGCTGCAACGCGGACCACGCTCGGCTGACGTTGCCGGTGTGTTGACTGGCAATGTTGGCGAGGCAGAGCTCAAGGCCTGCGCAGGGTGCCGTTCTGCGTCAAGCTCAGCAAACGCCTCCTCTAGGGACGTTGCGTCCAAGGGCTTCATGAACAGATCCAGGTCCAGAGTATGCTTGGCGAGACAGACATCGAGCGGGGTCAAGCCGGCGAAATCTACGCCTTGCTCCCAGCAGGCCCCCTGCGACACCGTATCGTCGCATTCACCGCTGCGCAGGCAAATATCGCAAGCGTCGTTGCACGGGAAAATGTCGCACCCGTCGTTGCACAAGCAAACGCTACTGACAGAAGATGCCACGTCGCCACACACCCCGTCTGGTATGAAGTCTGTGAGGCCGAAAGAAGTATCGGGGGGGATGAGGCTGTCCCATGGTCCATCATGCAGCTCCTGGACCGCGGACAATGTCGGATCTCCGTCATAACATGCCTCCGAGGCTTGCGTCACGTCTTCCTGGAAGATGTCTGGCGAAAGACAGCGTTGAGAAGGGTCGACGGCGTTACCAGCATCTCCAGTACCGTGCATATAAATCAAGGCTGCCGCGGCAAGTCGCACTGCCTCGGCGGCACATTGTCCAGATGGATTGGCTGCCGTGCCCATGTTCAGGGAGGCAGGATGGAGAGACGGCGATTGAGTAACCATGTGGTGGAAGGACGTGGGAAAGGAGATGGATGGACCTAAGCCACCATAAAGGAAGGGCAGTGGAAGAGAGAAGAGTGATGTTGTGAGGCTCTTGGGCAGGGTATCATTGAGAGGCTCTTGTATTGGATCAATGTTTAGTAAAGCAGAGATGACCGACGCGATGAGGACGGTAGACTGGTGGAGCGTGTCCAGATTTATACCATCCGTTTCCCACTTGCCGTGGAGTTCCTCAACACACTCAAGGCATACGCATGAACGTGGAAAACAGGGAAGGTGTAGACGGCATGCAGTCTAGGCCCACCCTACAGGCTATGGCGTATCGCCTACCTGCGTGAGAGATCATCTGGCATCGCGTGAAGCGAGGGTGGGAGTCAAGGAGCACGAGACGCAAGCACGGCATCTCCCAAGGCACCCGTGCGGAGTAGCCAGGCCGCGACCCGAATGATGATTCGAGGGTTGGTGTGATGTGGCCATGTTGTGACGTATCTCGGTAAGGAGCATCGTTCGGAAAGGAGAGGGAGGTGGCAGAGGCTCGGCGGCAGCACCGGTCGAGGCAGAAGTCGCGAGGCCGACTCGGATCATATCGGTCCAGCGCGACAGGCAAGAGGGCATGATCACTGTTGTGGTCTATTTCCTGTGGTCTATTTCCTGTGGTCTATTTCTTGTGGTCTATTGGTCTAGGCGGAGACAGAAGTGGCTTCACAAAGCCGGTGTCACAGAAGCGCGTCACAGTTCCCATGAGTTCCCCCTTTCCCACCCTTTCTACTTGCCACTCTTCCAACCACCCCCCCCCCCAGTTACCCCTTTGTGCCTGCATCCTTAGCCAATGAACGCCTCGTCCGTCTCACGGCCCGTGGGCGTACTCGTCCTGAGCGTACTCGTCGACGTACTCTTCCTGGACGAACCTGTCTCTGTAATCAACTCCCTGCTGTGCCACTATGTGTTGGCCAGCCATGGCTGCCAGCCAGCCCAGAGACTAAGTGGCGCATGTGTGTATATAAAGAAAGCCTGATTCCTCTTTTCAGTGTTTGGCTGCTGCCAGGATCGCTCACCGAGCTATCATTCCCTCTCAAGCTGTTCTTCACCCGCCCCATCTTCACCCACGAGCACAACGCTAACGTTGTGGTCCATGGCGCGGAAGACGCACATGGCATTCGCTACAACTGAAATGGCACCCACTGACTCCCGCAAGCTCACTTCCGACTGCACGGCCGTTCAACATGGGCCTTTGTGTCGCCTCCCTCCCGAGCTCCTCAACGGTATCATCAGCCGCTGCGACCAAAAGTCCATCTCGGCGCTCCTACGAAGCTGCAAGCAACTGCTGCATGCCTATACTACTTGGTTGTATGCAAACAACGTTCAATATTCGCATGCATCGTCCATCATCTGGGCAGCGCGTTGCCAAGAAGACAATGTCACCATTTCGGTCCTGAACAAGGCCGTCGAGGCTGGCGCGAATTTACGGAAGCAATGTCAGATTTCCCTCAAGCCATTTGAACACCTACGCCTACCACAAATGGTCTACCGGGATTGCTTTCTCTCGGCGCAATCTCAACTGAGGGACATGTATCCTGAATCTGTTGCAGTCTCTTGCCTTGAACTTCTCGTCGAAGAGGGTCGAGATACCGTGGTTCTCCACTTGCTGCAGCATGGTTTTCATCCATACCATCTGCTGACGTCTCGCATCCTGAACCTCGTTTCCAGCACCCATGGCGCTTTGCCGCGTCTGACCGACATCAACCCCCTCCATGTGTCGGCGGCCATGAGCCTACAGAACGTGGCTGCCCTTTTGATTGGCCAGCATGGCGTTCACGTCGATAGCAGGGACAGCTGTGGCTACACGCCATTGTCGTACGCCATACGCTCGCCGTTCGCCGATGACGAGATGATATCCGAGCTGATCCTCTGCGGTGCCGACCTCAAGCAGGAGGTGCCACATGGCGGCATACAAGTGTCCATTCTGGAGTACGCCTGCCATGCCGGCCGGTTCTCCGCTGCTCTTCACATCCTCGCAGCGCTCGACTTGTCTGACGTGCCTGGTGCTTATGACCCAGCTCTCCAGGTCGTCATACCAATACCCTCCTTCAAAAGAAAAGGCCAGACTTCGCATACCAAAAGAATTCTGGTCAACAAGCTCTTGGGACGTGGAGCGAACCCAAACGCTATCGTTCGTTCTTCCGGGGCCCCTCTCTTGACGCATCTGGTTCGGAACCATCCCAAGGCTGTCGACTATCTCCTGGCCCTGCCGGGCATCCTTGTTGATGCATTGGATGAAGGAGGCCTCACCGCCTTGGCCTGGGCTCTGACATATACAGCGCACCCTACGAATGTGTATCTGAAAGTCGCTGCGTCTCTTCTAGCCCACCAAGCGACCTTGACGACAGCTGTGACAAAGTGGATATCGGACAGCACACGTACTATAAGCACCATGCGACACGTGAAACACGCACTCAAGAGAAACCCACGTATCCTAGATATCTACCAACTCATCTATGGCCATTGCATCAGGGTCTCCCCTTGGCAGCGTACCAATGCCCAGCATCAGTTTCTGGCCGAGGCACCCGAATGGATTGTACTTCTGATCTGCAGAAAGAAGAGAAAGGGATTATGGACACGGAGAACGGCGGAAAGCATGGTGAACAAGTATTGTGATCTCGAGATAGTGCCTAGAGGCTCCGCGATGTCTCTCTCGGCTCCGGTGCAATATCTGGGACATTCCAACGACGAGGCGCCTACCCAGCTGCGGATACCATAGACACTCCATCTGTCTTCCGGATTGTCTCTCTAGGTGGGGCCATATCGTGGCGATTGGCCACATGCTTCTCCCCGACACACCGTCGATTGAATTCCTTGCCGCATTGGACGCAGATGAAGCGGGCCGCGGAGGGACGGTATATGAGGCTGGCATCTCTGACAGTCCCCGCACCGCCCCGACTCTGGCCACGAGGGTTATGCTGGTCGATCGAGAGCAGACCAAGAGAAGGAGACCGGCCCGAAGACTGGTCAAGAGACCGATTGGAAGGGGGGAGCCGGCCAGTGTGGCCACCAAAGGTGCCATGCTGTATCCAGGGAAGACCGCCCGAGAGCCGCGCTCGGGCGGGTGCGTGGCGCTGGACAGCCGTCCGAGGGCCTGCGGCAGCCAGACTCAACCTGTTGGCCATCGGCGCGCCAACCGGCACGATGAGGTTATCACTCGAGACGCGTCGTTCGAGCTGATCGATGATGGAGCGAAGCTGGTCTGCTTGCCAGCGGGCTCGAGCAAGGGTTGCGGGTCGACCATGGCGTCGATGGATGTACGATTCTGTCGCGCGGAGCATATACATGTGTTTGTGGACGGCGTGGCATACTGGGCACGGCGCCTGGTGAAAGCGTGCGGTCTGAATCAACTTGAGACGGCAAGGTCGGCGTTGGTGTTGTGCATGTGCACAAGGTTGGAGACGCTGCCGCCACTGCCAGTGGCGACACGTCCAGACGTCTTGATCGTAGAAACACATGGTGTTCGCCGCAGTCATACAACGAGAAAGTAGGGCAAGCAAGTGAAAACGCAGGGCGAGCAAGTGAAAACGCAGGACAAGCAAGTGAAAACGCAGGACAAGCAAGTGAAAACGCAGGACAAGCAAGTGAAAACGCAGGGAGCGAGGACACGCGGTGATGCGAGGACCTGTCCGGAACGGCCATCACGGATGGCATCATGGATGGCCAACAGTGCCAAGCTTAACGGCCGGGTCATGGCAGCGCCGATGGCAGCTTCAAACGCGGCCTTGTCGGCAGCGCCTCAGTGGCACGCGCCCTCTTACCAGGAGCCCGGCGGCTATGCACGACTCCGGGTGGGGCTGCCAGCAGTGCCTCGACCAGGAGCCTCAGCGGCTTTGTATGCGGCTTGGTCGGGGCTGCCAGCAGCGCCTACATGACAGGCGCCCCGCTACCAGGAGCCGAGCCGACTGATATGCGGTTCGGGGCCACCAGCAGCCGCTCTCTCCACGCTCCGGGTTGCCAGCAGCCCCTGTTAAGCGCCCGCCGTCGAGAGGGCGCCCGGCCATCCCGAACCAATGCCTGGCGCTGGCTACTAGTAACAGGAATGGCTCACTACCAGCAGCCGCTGGCTCGAAAGCGAACTCCTCCAAGATCGGAAGACGGGTCACGCGAGTCACAGGTGGGCGGGCGGTGCGTTGGCAAGTACAAGGCCATAATTAAACGTCCGTCTACGGAATCCGACACAACCGCCTCACGTATCCTCACGTATCCCACGGAAAAGCACACATCGCCTTTGGTGTCGTAGGCGCTGCTGGCTCACACGCCTTGCTCGGTCAGCATGCGGTCACACACAGAACGAGATGACGGGCGGACAGACCTCCTGGTCGCGCTTCTTCGCCGCGGCCAGCTCGGTAGCCAAGCGGCGGATCTCCTCTTGGAGACCGTCGATGTAGGCCGTGGATGCCACGCGCAACTCTTCATATTCCTGCTGCCAGTACGTGATGACGCCGCGCAGGTTTTCGCACAGATAGCGGTAGTCCGGCTTATACAGCGGATGCGGCTCGTCCCACCGGCGTAGGGACAGGCGCACGCCCGGGGACAGAGGCGCGCCCGGGGATGGAGGCACGCCCGGGAACGAAAGCACGCCCGTGGACAAATCTCGGACACGTGGGTCGCCCATGGCAGGATGAGATGAAAGGCTGCGAGAACGAGAAGGCGAAGATGCCGAAGCGAGCTCTGGACACCGCCCGCTTGATGCCGCCTGCTTTATAGCCATGGCCAACCCGCCGCGGCTCCCGCACATCGCACATCGCACGCCGCACGCCGGCCTGCACATTCTGCTCCGGCGATAGACAGTCCCCGTCCAGGCCCGGGCGGCTACGCAGTCGACCCACCAGGCATGCCGGACCTACTGCAGTGGCGTCCTTGCGTGCGTATGCGCCTGCTCGACAGCTCGGCGCTCGTCCGGGTTATCGGCGATTACGTGCTGGGCACGTAAGCGACGGCGAGGGGTAGATGGTTCATGCGACGCTGCAATCGAGGACCGACCGACCGACGACCAACGCGCCAATCCCAGGTCGAGCCTGACTCCACCTGGCCTCCACCTCCTCTGCAGCCAAGACAGTCTATTGTCCTGGCGTCACTTAGCGTGCCATGTCCTCGGGAATCGGACGGGCTAGGCTCGAACAGGCATGAAAGTCAGGCACAACCGGGCAAAGCCAGGCACAGGCAAAGCCAGGCACAAAGGCAAAGCCAGGCACACAGGCAAAGCAGGCACACAGGCAAAGCAGGTACACAGGCAAAGCCAGGAACTACCAGGCACGAGCTTGCTGAGCCATCCTTCAGCTGACGATAATACACGGCAACGTCATGACATGGAAAACAGGTCCGGAGAAGTATTGAAACTATCTGACACTAACGCACAGCGCATCACAACCACCCTCGCGCAACGCCAACAGCCAATCACTCCTGCGAGGTCATGGATAGAGGCGTCAGCATGCCACTGTCCAGGTCCTCCAGCGTGGACGGTGCCACCATCGGCTCCTCCGTCGATGGAATGTCCTATTGCCGCATAAGCTTCGCTCGCCTGACCTGCGCCATTGTGCCACAACACGTACTCGACGATCGACGTTTGCGTCGGCCAGTCTCTTCACCAGTGTGTCCAGCCGATGCAGCGTCTGCAGGATGGCCATCAACGGGTCACGATGGGCATGTGGCCCGGGTGGGAAGAACTGCGAGGTTCCGCCCCCCCGGAGTATTGTCTCCGCATCCCTCAAGTCTCTCAAGACGAAGAAGTTGGAAGCCAGGCGGACAGATACAGCGAGGGTCTCGCGTGCCGTTGGACGGCCGGAGCGACGGCAGATGAGCCATGTGGAAGGGAAGGCGAGGAGGGGGAAGAGGAGGAGGGCGAGCAGTGCGAGAAAATGGGCAGGAGAGGGCGAAAGGTGGGCAGGAGGGCGAAAGGTGGGCAGGAGAGGACGAGGAAGCCAAAGACAGTGATACAATCAGGCGGGAGATAGCTGCGTAGAACGCTAGATACAGTCACAACGCTACAGTCGCTAGGATAGAAAGCTGGCCACGCTGGGTCGACATCTTATATAGTTTGACAACGGTGCAATGGCAGTTCGATGACAGTGGCCTGCCGTCACAGACACCGGGTATAGCGTCGCACTCACGTCCTCGCGGAGCAGCTGGCCGTCACGGTCTGGACGACGGTCATGGTCGACACCAGCGTCGACACAACCGTGGCGACCACAGTCAGACCCGTAGATGGCACGACCTTGGACGCCATGCTGACCTGGAAGAGCGACGACGACGACGACGACGCCGCCGGGGGCACGCTCGCTTGCGCGCCGGGTGTGGTCTGTCCGTCTAGGGGCGCGCCAGCCGATGGCGTCGATGCGCCCGCCGGAGCTTGCCCGGTTCTGGTCGACGTGTGGCTCGCTGTTGGTGATGCCTGCAACCCTGTGGAGGATGTCGCCGACGCCAGCGATCCCGACCCCGACAACATCGCCCCCGTTGGTGGCGCGCCGTCTGACTCGGGCGCCGATCCTTCCGTGCTCATCCTGGTCATTGCGCTGCTTGAGCCGGGTGTGCTGCCTGAGCCTGGCGCGCTGCTTGAGCCAGGTGTGCTGCCTGAGCCTGGCACGCTGCTCGAGCCAGGTGCGCTGCTCAACGCGACGCGAAAGTCGGTCGTCGTCTGCGTCACCAGCGTCGGCACCGTCGAGACAAACGTCGTCGACGACCGCACGATTGTCGCCAGCGTACTCCGTGTCACCACCGACTCCGACACGCACCCAATCCGGCCGACATTCACCAGTGGCAGGTGGGGGTCGCCGCGGCCTCCGGCGATCGTGGCGTGAGAGCACGTTGGCGGTAATCCCGCGCATTGCCTAGAAACCTGTTAGCGCGGATGTCTGTCGCGTCGCCTGTCCTGGTCGCCTGTCCTGGTCGCCTGTCCTGGGCGCCCGTCTCGTCGCCCGTCTCGTCCGTCGGGCGCGATCGCTCAGGCGTGACCAGTTGGGCATGCAGGTGCGCCATCCTACCATGTAATGTGTGCATCGCCGCTGGGCGCCCCTGTCGGCACCACAAAGCTGGCGACCCTGCGACCTGAGCAGGGAATGGCCTCGAAGGCATAGCTGACGGGGAGGAAGTCCGGATTGTCGAACTGGAGGGTGGCCCCGCACCGTCGATCCAGCGCGTCCTCCACACTAGAAGCTGCGGTTAGCAACAGCAACAGACCATGCCACCCACACCACGACCACGCCCTACGAGCGAGCAGCATTGCGCCAACGGCCACACCAACAGCATCACTCGCTGCGAGCCGCATCACACCCGGCAACGCTCCACGCGAACGGACCAACGTACTCGGCAGACACCACCGACCGACCGGCCTCGAGGGCGACGACAGGACTTGACATGCAGATGCAGGGGCCGTCGTGCAGGGCCAGCACGCCGGCGTGCACGAGAGGGAAAAGGAGGAGGAACTTCATCGTCTTGGTGGCTGTGGGGGGGCGTCGGTCTTGGACACTGGGTTATCACGCTGCCTTGCGCGTTATGACCGGTTATGAGCAGTGGGAGCATGTCGTGCGCCGCCACGACAGGCGACGGTCGCCCTGCGAGCTAAATAGCGAGGGCAACAGGCGGCCGTCCCATGTTGCATGTTCGTTGTCGGTCATAAGCCAGAGTTGATCATGGGCGAGGCATGTCCCACCATGGATCCGGGACGCAGGCTGCCAATAGCCGGACGTCAATTGCTGGACGTCGGTTGTCAGATGGCAATTGTCAGACGTCAAAGGTGAAATCGCGCACCTCAGCGGATGCGCCAGGTACGGGGTCCTCTGCACCAGATAAGCGCCAGTTGGGTCGGACATGCATTCTCACTACACGCCATTCCCGCCAGACACACACCAACCCCACCAAACACCACAAGACGACGCCTCTCCAAGGCCTGCGTTTTATGACCCCAGCAGGTCGTATAAGACGAAGACATCCATGGTGGCCAGACGTTACGCCGTATGTCTCTCCACCAAACTACGTTGCTAGATCACCGTCAAATGCCAGAGACACCCCCGCTTGACATTCGCATCATGTCCCAGACGAACCACTGGCCGGAGTACATGCATCTCGAAGAGGCCGTCCATCGCGAAGACGATCTTTTTCGGCCACTCCTCACTGAATCCATCAATCTGTCCTCTGTCCCGTCTACCTACTCGCATGATCAGGACGATGTGCTCCTCGATATGGACCCAGACACAGCCGCCCTGTTCCAGTCCGCTCCTGTCGACCTGCCCGACCTGGACTTCAGCCTGCCAACATGTCCGTCCACCCCGGTCAACGTCGTTCCTCCTCCACCGCCCTCCGTGCCGGCTGCCATGGGGACCAGCGGTGGCGCATGCCCCCGGTGTGGGGCCCACCGAAGGTGTGTTGCGACTGCGACTGACAGTCATCCCTGCCTTCGTCCCCTGCTCGCCCAGCTAACCTGATTTAACTCTAGTCAAGCATGGGCAGATGGCAAAGCATGGGTGGACTTCGACACGCGGCTGGCCCGCATGGAGGCTACCATGATCGAGACGGCGTCGGCTGTGGCCCGCATGGAGGCCACCATGAATGAGACGGCCTCGACTTTCCAGAGCCTGTTGCCTCGTGCCTACGGCGCAATGCAGAACCTGATCGACATTACCATTTTGTTTGACGAGAACATGGAGAAGCTGAAGCAGTCCTTGGGCTTGTTCACGCGAGGCATTGTCGAGCATTTCTTTGGGGACGCGACCTTGACTGACGCGGAGACGTTCGCTTCATGTGATCCCTAGCCCTTGCAGCCAGGACGGCCAGGACACGGGAGGCCGTCTCAGGGAGGGGCTGCGGATAGACCAACGGGTGGGTTGAGGCGTTGCTAGCCAGGCTGGGTAGGCCACCTAAGTTGATATTGAGCTTCTCGCATTGAACCCCCACAATCGTGATGGGCGCTCCATGATTGGTCTGTGATTCGAACGGTGATGAACTTGTGATGAGCCAATGGCCAGCGATCTGCCATTGTGTCACCCTGTGGCCCCCCAACGCACTCGTTGGTGCGAACACGGACAGGGTGGGCACAACGGCGGACGACGTCCTCGTAGTCCTTGCCGGCTGTTGGACGCTTGAGCTCCCCCGAGCCTTTGACACACGACGTCAGGGTCAACTGTCCTCCCACTTCAATGTCTGTCCTTTCGGCGCACTCACGCGATGCTCGCGAAAACGCTGTTGTTTGTCTTGACTTTGGTCCTCTCATGCTTAGTTCGCGTCATCCAGAAGAGCAGGCCGGAGTGGATTGCTATCGTGCTTCTTGCATTCATGACTCTCACACCCGTCGCCATCATCGCTATCCACTGCTACCGATGTCCGTACGTCATCTTTGCCGTACGATATTTCACTAACGTCTTGTCAGCAAGCACCGTACTGCCAGCCGGACGCGATCTTTACTTCACGCGATGAATACACACGATCAAAGGACAACTTCAATGCGCTGTGTAGGTATTGCATTCCTCCTGGGGTGCCATGCTGCGACGCAGCGATCAATCTACCCGCATGTCACTCTACACTTCACTACTTCATCCGTACATCAAGCGTCCAAACGGACCGGCCGATTCGTCGCCACACCAGCCTTTCGGATCACGATATTCATTCAGTCGTAACGGCCCCGTCGTCGCGACGCAGGCGCATGGGCAGAGTACCGCGACGAGGAAGTATAGCTATCGCGTCGGCTGGACCGACGTGACCGCGGTTCTTCATATGGTCTGTTGTGGTCCAGCAGCATACTCTTGTCTTTGTCCAGACTAGCGTGCATCAGCCGCTGTTGTAACCAGCTTGTCAATGTACTCACAACTTTGCCATTGCATAGGCAACAGCGAGCGCAACCGTCATCTTTCCAAGGGCCATGATGTGTTGAGTCCACGTATCTAGTCGTGATGCACGCCTTTCTTGCGTAAGCGTAAGCGTAGGCGTAAGCGGAAGCGTAGGCTACTTGTCTGTTGGCGCGAATGTGTTGGCGCATGAAGTGCTTTGGGAATAATGGCGGATGCGCTTATATGTCAACGTCGCGAGGCAGACACCAGCCTTCTTAATGCAACATCAGGCG